ATGATGTTGTCATTCAACCCCATTGTCTTAGCTACTGTGACTAGCAACACAGTAAACATGGGCACACACGTATCTGTGTTGTATGCTGATTTTGATTCCTTCAAACATATACCTGAAAGTGGTGCAACTAAATCACTGAAATTTATTTTTGAGGAACCTTCAGATTTCTTTAGTGACTCTATTCATTCCCATTCCTACAAAAAAAAACATAGACATGTTCATTTTGCCCATACCTTCACTTCCATTAATTTTTTTCCTACAATAGATATTCTAACTGGGGTTAAGAGACTCTCATTGTGATTTAGATTTGTACATCTTCAGTGGATAATGATATTGAGCATTTTCATATATTTATTATATATATTTCTTCTTTTGAGAAATATCTATTTTAGGTAACTAATTTGATTAACTTATCATTATTAAGGTTTTTAGTCATATTTTGGAGATTTGCTGTTTGTCTGAGGAATAGCTGGCAAACATTTTCTTTCTTTCTGTGAGGTATTTCTCTGCTCTGGTAATTGTGTGACCTTTGCTGTGAAGAGAATATTTTGCTGTCAGTTCTGTACAAGTCCATTTCTGAGATTATTATCATATTAAGCTGTGTTCAGCTATTCATAAGGATATGTGTACTAAGGTACAGTTTGACTATATATATATATATATACATACATATATATATGTACAGACACACACACATATGTATGTATGTATGTATGTATGTATGTATGTATGTATGTATTGGTTTTTGTTTTTATAGACAGGGTTTCTCCGTAACTTTGAACCCTGTCCTGGAACTCAATTTGTAGATCAGGTTGGTATTGAACTCATAGAGATCTGCTTGTCTCTGCCTCCTTTCTCTGTCTAAAGTAATCTGAAGTTTCCTCAAAAATAAATTTACAGCGATTTAGTTGCACCACTTTCGGGTATATGTTTGAAGGAAATAAAATCAGCATACAACATGGATGTGTGTGTGCCCATGTTTACTGTGCTGCTAGTCACAGTAGCTAAGACAATGGGATTAGATGACAAGTGCTGGGATTAAAGGCATGCACCAGCATGCCTGGCTGACACGAGTTTTAATAGGACCTAAAGTGATACAATTTTAGGCTACTAAGAGAGGAATGAGCAGTTGAATTACAGCATATCCATACTGGTTATGAATGTGTGATAACTGTCCGGAACAGCATACTGGGTTGTGGTAGTGCAAATCTGTAATTCTAGCATATGAGAGGTGGTAGCAGGTTCAAGATGGTCTTCTGCTACACAGGAAGTGTGATTCAGGAGACCTTGTAGCAACAATCCAACCAAGAATAAAATCCAATTAGGCAAGAAAGTAAGTAAATAAATAAATAATAGAAACAAGTTGAATAGTACTCAACCACATTAAAATACACACAAAAGCTGGGTGGTGGTGGTTCCTTTTTAATCCCAGCACTTGGGAGGCAGAGGCAGGCAGAGCTCTGTGAGTTCCAGGACAGACAGCTAGAGATGTTAAACAGAGAAACCCTGTCTCAAAAAACAACAAACAAAAAACCAAATAAAGCAAAACCAAAAAAAGATCGCATACACACACATAAAAAGCCACTAAACCTGTATTTCTTTCTTTCTTTTCTTGTACACCCCCTAAAAAGAAATCTAGAAGGATATTTGGATATTTTCACAATTATTCATTGTGGTTAACCCTAGGGAATGGAAATGGAGTGATAGAAAGGGATATATATATATATATATATATATATATATATATATATATATTTGCACAGGCCTGTATAATTGTAATGAAATGACAGTAAACATTCACTTATGGTTATCTTAAAAATACAGGTTTTGTTTGTTTTTGGGGGACAGGGTTTCTGTGTGTAGCCCTGGCTGTCCTGCAACTCATTCTGTAGACCAGACAGCCCAGAACTCAAGAGATCTGCCTGCCTCTGCCTCTCAAGTGCTTGGATTAAAGGCTTGCATCACCATTTTAAGGCTGGCTTAAAAATACATTTTAAATAAATGTAACATAAAAAATAAAAGACCCAGAGACTAATATTGGGGTCCAAATTTCAAGCTGAAAAACAGAAAAGTTAAGTTGTGGGCCACTACCTCTTACCACTGATCCTGTTGCCTCTCCTCAGCATGGCTGGAGAATCCTCAATGTGAATGGAGAATGAATGCTCCTGTTTTCAGTGTGGCTGGAGAATGAATGCCTGATATTGAGACCTTGCTCCTGTGTTATATACCTCCCTAAGCTGGGACTAAAGGCGTGTGATCTCAGGTGCTGAGATCACTGTGTGAGCTGTTTCTCTTAAGGGCTGGGTGGCTTTGGACTCACAGAAACCTGTCTACCTCCTAATCCTAGGATTAAAGGTATGTACCAACACCTCCTAGTTTCTCGATGCTGGGATTAAAGGTGTGTGCCTGGCTTCTATGACTTGTGGCTGACTTTGCTTTCTGCGTCCTCAGGCAAGCTTTAATAAATCACAAATAATATATTACTACAAATAAACACTTAAAAAAACAAAACAAATCCTTGATTCTGATACAGTGTAGTTATCTTCACTAGGTCTATTTTCTCTGCCAGTTAAAGAATTAAAGGCAGGAAAAATCTGAAGTGCAACATGTAGCAGCAGAGAACTCTCAAATTCTGCAGACAGAACAGCAGTAGGAAGGTGTTTATTGGGGGCAAGGAAGCATAAGCATGCATAGACACACACAGAAAAGACCTCTGGGAAGCTGGAAAATCCAGCCCCTGTACAAGGCTGGGGTTTTAAATCTCTGAAGAGTTTTCCTCCCCTAATTTAGGGTTCGTCCAGTTTGAAGAAAGTTAGGACAGTTGATTGGCCCAGAACTGTAGTGAGATATTCACTTTGTCTGAATCTGTGGCACAGACCACACTCATTGGGGGTGAGGACAGGGAACGAAGTCTGAGGAGGGGGCTCTAGGAGCTCTCTTGCTTGCAGCACGGGGACAGAACATCCAGAGTCATCCTTGAGACCAGGAACCTGCTGGTGTTCATCTGTCTATGTTGTAAGTTATTTCTCCCTGAATAAACATCTATTCGGCCTATTTGTTTCTCCTGATCCTTATTAAACTTCAATACAGAACTGTTGTGTGATGTCCTGAGCAGGCCTTGAACTTGTTGAGTCTGTCTGTCAGGAGGAGGCCTGTTGGGATACTATAGCCTACAAGGCCTATTGTCTCAAGGTAGAAGGTTAAGGAAAAAGCTGGCCATCTTGGAGATGGCTTTATTATCTTGCCTTGGTCCCTCTCCCTATTTATCTGCCTAACAGGGAGTCTGTAACTCCTAATCCTTCAGTTCCACTAGTTTATATTTAGACAAGGTGCCTGAAACATTGCAACAAGTGTGTTAATTTTCATTAGTGATAGCTCCCAAATAGTTTAGTCTCTGCATTAAATGTGTTTCTTTTGTTTATTTTCTTTTTGGAGACAGGGTTTCTCCGTGTAGCTCTGACTGTCCTAGAACTCACTCTGTAGACCAGGCGCCATTGAACACTGAGATCCACCTGCTTATGCCTCCTGAGTACTGGGATTAAAGGCCACCAGGCACTGTGTTTAAATAAGGCCCAGAATCTAAGAAACAACTAAGTAGTTATATTTGACTTGCCCTGGCTCTAAGAAAACCCTTGCTCCTAGACTTTTCATTTTGAATGGCCAAACTCTACTCACTTGTGGTTTTTCTCTTTTCCCGTGTATCTCAGTTGCTTACACAGACAACACTTTCAAGTTTCAGGATTTTCTCTAGTTGTTGTAAAGTGAAAATGCACTGGGCCCCGTTGACATCTTGATGCTGATTTTTTTTTTTTTTTCCAAATTTAGGATTTGGTTAATAAGTTGCTCACACATTTTATACTCAGCTGGTCTTCCCAATTGGACCATCTCTGGAGTAGAGTCTGGGGGCATGGATACCACTACTTATATTCCTCCCAATAATCCTTCAATTCGCTAAGTATGTTGAGATAAAAAGATTAGGGCTGCTTTCAGAACACACCCAGTGCTGAGGGATGTTTGTCTGGACGCAGTTTAAAACACTAATTCCAAGCCAAAGATTAGATCAAGGCTCCTGTGTTTCTTAGAAGTCATTTGCCTTCATTTGGAATGATGAACTGCTTGTTCTCAATTCTGCACTTCTAAACTTTTAGAAAGATGCTCTTTGGAGATGATTGACTCCAGCCCCCTTTGGTCCTCAAATGATGTAAAGCTGATAACTTTAGACTTTGGAGATGCTGCCTCAGAAAAAAAGGTATAAAAAGCACGGTGGTGGCACACGCCTTTAATCCCAGCACTCGGGAGGCAGAGGCAGGCGGATCCCTGTGAGTTCGAAGCCAGCCTGAAAATTCCAGGACAACCAGGGCTTTTACACAGAGAAACACCGTCTCGAAAAACAAAAAGCCAACAACAAAAGCATGGCCGACTAAGTGGCAAGTACAGAATCATTCTACTCAATGATCCGTCTACTCTGTCTTTGGGTCCTGAAGCTCTATGGAAAAAAGATGGACTAAGACCAAGCCTTCGAGGAGGTCAAACCCTGAGATTATGCCTGGTGCAGGTCTACGGGGAACCGGAGGGCGGAAAGCAGCGAAGGGAGCCGCCCTCTGGCTCCCGGCTGGTAGCCGCCATCTTTTAGCTTGGGCTGCGCAGCCTCTCCGCGCAGGCCCGCGTGCAGAAGCCGAAACGTGGTAGCATTGGAGGGCTGGAGCGCATTACAAAAGGAAAGGGCGCCTGCGCTCGGGCAACCGCGCGGGAGGGGCGGGGCCAGGGGAGAACGCGCGTGCGTAGTGCGAGCCCGCCAAGCACCTGGAGGAGGTGGGGGGCGGGGTAGAGAAGCGTGGGATAGTACAGCGCTTGCGCCAGAGCGCGACGGTGAGGGAAGTGGGGGATCTGGAGCACGCTCGCGGAGGTGGGACTTTAGCAGACATCGCGAGATTTGCTGCAGCCATATATACGCGCGGCGAGCCCGCGTCCTTTCCCTGGCGTGATTCCGTCCTGCGTGTCTGTTCTTAGGAGCAGTAGGCAGTTTTCTCCGTCCGATTTCCTTCACTCCGAAGTTCGCGCCTCCACCTCATGGAAGACTCGATGGACATGGACATGAGCCCTCTTAGGCCTCAGAACTATCTTTTCGGTAACTGCCTGGCGGGGAGGGCTCGGGCAGGGCCTGGTGGTTGGGGGGGGCGGGAGTCCGGCTGAGGCCTGGCGTGTGCCAAACGCGGCGTGGGTGGATGCCGGACGGCCGGGAGGAAACGCCTGGGCAGCGGGAACCGGGAGAAGAAAGCCGAGGCCCGGGGGCTGGGAGCGACCGTAGCTTTGGGCGGGAGCGGCCCAGCCTCGAGCCCCAGGCGTTGAGAGGGCGGTCTCCCGATGGTGCCTACTTGATTGGGGCGCGAGCAGGGGCGGTGGCGACACTTTTCTCCTCATGCGTGAAGAAGGCCGCAGGGTCTGGCAACAAGCAGCTGTAATTCAGCGCTGGGCCACATACGCGTGGCCCGAGAGCATGGTGCCTCTGGAGCTAGGCCTGCGCGCCGGGTTGGAACGATGTGTGTGCAGTCCGCTGGGCTTTTCAGGGGCTTCGAGTCCTCCGCCCCGGCGCATCGGAGCGCATCCGAGACGTATCGCCAGCCACAGGGACCAGGCCGACCAGGCGCCCCGCGACTGAGGGGGCCGCAACCCCTGGAAACACGTGGTTGCCACGTGGTTGGGGGTAGGGAGGGGGTGTGGGCTCTACATCCGGGCTCTCCTGACGTACTAACCCTGATCTTTGGTGTCCTGTGGTTTAGTTAAGAGTGCTGGGCGGGAAATGCCTAAATGGTTCAAGGAGCCCGTGTGCTCAAGGTCTTTGTTCAGATCTGGTAGCATCCACGGTGACAGTGATTTTTTTTTTTTAAGGACCCTTTACGGCCTCTGCAGTAGGTAGAGTTAGCCCGACGCTGCAGATGACGTTATAGATGAAGTGAAGTGATTTGGTGTTAGGAGAGGGCTACGAAATCTTAAGTCGAAAACTTCTTTTCTCCAGACCTGGTGTTCATTGTTTGGACCAGGGAGAGAGAAGTGCCGCGTAGCGCAGATCTAGGGTTCGCTTTGGAAAGTGGGCTTCTTGGGTTCCCACTGCTATAGCACATTCATTTTGTCAGTTTTTAAAGAGTCTGTTTGGTTTTCAATGACTGCAGTCATTTTCTCAATCTTCCCACATGAAAGAGTAGTACATGCTTAGTGTACTCTGAGCATGAAGATTTATACATAGCTATTGTTATGGAATAATTTCGTGTAGAGGTTAGGTAAATTGGGTTTTTTAAAAATAGTGGTAGATTTGCCACTATGCAAAGTTGTAGTTTTAGGTCATTGAGTCTTCTGTGAAAAATGGTAATGGTGCCTCATTAATTGATAATGAAATACTATGAAAAAATAGAACTTTTATGGGCTATCATAAGAGTAGCTTTCACAGAACGTTAAGTTGAAAAACGTGCGTTAGTGGTCTTCTGGGATTGTGATGCTATATTGCTAGACTTCTGTTTTTCTTTCACAGGTTGTGAACTAAAAGCTGACAAAGATTATCACTTTAAGGTGGATAATGATGAAAATGAACACCAGTTATCACTAAGAACGGTACATAAACTTTGAAACTATTTAGCCATTTATGTTTCAGTCAATTGGATCTTACTGGGGTGATATACTTATGTCCGGAGTTTGTGCTTCCTTAACTGGTGGGAAAATTTTTTTTTATGATTTTCATGTAGTTCAAATGGTAACAAAGGACTGGTTTTCCACTTAATTTTTCATATCCCCAGTCACTGTTATAATTAGTTGCCTAGTAAGGCTCTGCAGGATGTGATCTTTTAAGCCTCGCCAGCTTTATTTTGTTATTGTTGGTATTTCTTAGGAAGGTACAGTGTCCATTTCTATGCATCTCAAGTTATGTGAGAGGATGAGTTTTCTGTTAGAAGCAACAGGCTAATTAAGAATTTTAAGGGGTGTTTATAATACAGCTATCTTATTCACAGGTTAGCTTAGGAGCAGGGGCAAAAGATGAATTACACATCGTAGAGGCAGAAGCAATGAACTATGAAGGCAGTCCAATTAAAGTAACACTGGCAACTTTGAAAATGTCTGTACAACCAACAGTAAGTACTTCTAAACATTGGATTTCATATTCTCTACGTGATTTTTAGGATATGTAAAGATGCTTCAAATAAGTTACATCTTCTATGACATTTCTGCTACTTCTAAATAGTTTTATTGATTGTATGACTTTGCTGATGATAGGTGGTGTAAAACAGTCTTAAAACAATGTTTAATAATTGACTGTTTTAGGTTTCCCTTGGGGGTTTTGAAATTACACCACCCGTGGTCCTACGGTTGAGATGTGGTTCAGGGCCTGTGCACATTAGTGGACAGCACCTAGTAGGTAGGTATGCTTTTGGTTTTGGGTTTCTAAGTAATGATATTTCTTGTTTTGATTAGATTTGGAACTGGCTTTTTACATTTGGCACATGTGCCATGACATGCTTGTCTGGGTCAGACAAGGCTAGAATCTGCTTTTGCCACCACATGGGTTCTGGCTTTGATTGAACACTGATCAGATTTAGCCACAAAGATCTTGTTTACTAGATAGGTTATCTTCCTAGATCTTCAGTTTGGTATTTGTAAAACATGCTTTAGTCATAGTTGTCTTGGGCTAAAACAAGAATCTGGTAATGTGTATTTAAAGTATGTCTTTTGTTTTAGCTGTGGAGGAAGATGCAGAGTCAGAAGATGAAGATGAGGAGGATGTAAAACTCTTAAGTATGTCTGGCAAGCGATCTGCCCCTGGAGGTGGTAACAAAGTTCCCCAGGTAAAAATGTGGTTTAATTTAAATGGGGCATGATTATTTGAATGGGGAAATAGTGAATTTATTCCCAGAATTGATTTCTTTTTAAGTTAGAAACAATCTTATGTCAATCCCAGTTCCCTCTTCCATTCTCCCATGGTCCCCATCACTCTTCTCCATAGAAAGGGTGAGACCTTTTATGGGGGAATCATCAAAGCCTGTCACATGCTTTTGTTTTTTTTTTTTTTTAAGAAATGTTTTTTTTGGCTTTCAGTATAATCACTAAGGAATAGCTTTTGCTCACAAAAATATTTTTCTTTAAGAAAAAAGTAAAAATCGATGAAGATGAGGAGGAGGAGGATGAAGATGATGAGGATGATGAAGAGTAAGTATAAGTTTGTATGATCTTAGGAATTTGAAACAATTACTATGAAGGGTTTAGGAAAATTGATTTGCCAATAGACTTTCTAAAAGTGAAAGGATTGATGGTTGAAAGTAAAGATTTTTGTGTCTGTAAGGATTTTGGCCTGGATTTTTTTTTCCTTGAGTTCAAAATAGGTTAAAGATTTCATGTGTATATTATGACTAGGTTGTGTCAGTAAACAGATGTGAAATGTCTTGAAGGTTATCTTAATGTCTTATGTTAGAAGTTATGGGATTGGTCATGTTTTTATTTATTGAAAGTATTATGTGTGAAGAGTAAGAACTTTCAGGAAAGCAAACTTGGAAGTGGGTAATATAGATTAACTAGTAAACTGGGTAATACATGAAAAATGACATGTAAGGTCCCATGGGATAATTGTCCTTGAGGATGAAATCCTTGGAATGAATCCTTTTATCATGCTATGCATTACCTAAATACCTTGTATGACATGGTTAATGATATTTGAAAAGATAACTCATTTTTATATAAATTGGAAGTTCTTGTTACAGAGAACTTGGGTTCTAAAGCCAGTTTCACACTAAAATACTGCACTAAAAATCGCTAAAAGCATTGGATTTACATGTGGCTTTTGACATGGTATAAATTATAACAAGACAATTTCCTACACTACTGAAAAGATAATACATGGAAGTTCACAATTTTCAATTTAATGAAACTTAGTGTGGAAAATCTATGGCCACACTGTTGGTAGAACTTGTGGATTGAACATGAATAGTTAACTATTTTTTAGGATTTATTATGTATAGTGTTCTGCCTGCATGTATGCTTAAGGCCAGAAGGGGGCACCAGATCCCATTAGAGATTGCTTTGAGCCCACCACATGGGTGGAAAATCAGGACCTCTGGAAGAACAGCCAGTGCTCTTAAGCTCTGAGCCATCTTTCCAGCCCCAACTTATAAGTATACATACACTTAAATATACTTAGTAGGTACTTAAGTGGTCTTACCCAGTAATGTGATTCACTCTTTTAAAATACATATGGTGTCTGAAGACCATTTTTACTTAAAACATTACTCATAAAGCAAATGCCATGTGGATCTAGATCACCTCAGATCTAGATTGTGAAAATGAGAAGCAGCTCCTTTTTTTGAGGTGACAAATAACACTCAAATAGTTGGAGATGGATTGTTCTGCTAATTGCTGTCTGGCAGCTTAATTTCCATGGCATGTCTTAAGGAACAGCCAATAAAGTAAGCCTTGCCAAACACTTCATACACTGGAATGAAGAAGTGTAAAAGCAGAAGAGCTTTGATTGTCTCAAGGAAAAGCATTAAGATAACATTTGTAGATTCATAACAGATTTAAAAATTTTACTGCACTAGTTTGTATTCTGTGCATTCCCTCTTAATAGGCCTTGGCTATCATGGGTCTCAATCTGTAGACCATGCTGTCATGAACCCAAGAGGTCTACCTGCCTCTGCCTCCCAAGGGCTGGGATTTAGAGGTGTGCACCTCCACAGCCTAAACTCTTCTCTAATATTCATTAAGCTGTAGCCACTTGTGAATTTTGTAGATATAGAATTAGCATATTTCTTTACAAGGGTGTGGTTAATTTTAAAGAAGCCTAGTTTTTAGTTGATGCAAAACTTAAGAAACTCGTCAAATCTGTTAATGAAAATTTGCTCCCAAGTTTTTTGTTTTTCCTTGTGGAAATAATTCTTCTACCTTAGGATTCTTAACGGAATTTTAGTATCAATAACTACAAATTGCATGTTGGAGTATTGCCATTTTAGCAGTATTAACTCCGTTAATTTAATCATTGAGAAACTTTCAAAAACATTTCATAAACCTTAGTAACAATATTATGAGTAAAATACTATATCCCATTGAGTAGCTTACTTTGGCTTTATTAATAATTTACATTTTTATTTCGTGTGCTTTCATGTTTTACCTATATAAGTGTGAAGGTGTCAGATCACCTGAAATTAGAATTAATAGTTAAAAGCTACCATGTGGGTTCTGGATATTGGACCCAGGTCCTCTGGAAGAGAGCCAGTGCTTTTACTGCTGACCATCTCAGTCCTGAGCTCTGATTTTGCTTTTTAAATGGCTTAAGTAACATTTTGTTAGATTTTTAAATATACTGGTGCTATTGATTTGTCTAAAAATACTATACAAGTGGCTTTTTTGGTCAAATTGACTAAATGTTTAATTTGTGTCTTGGTTTGTTTCCTTTATAGTGATGATGATGATGATTTTGATGATGAAGAAACTGAAGAAAAAGTTCCAGTGAAGAAAGTGAGTATATAACATTCACTGGGTGTCAAGAATAGTTAATAAAAGACAGGAATTTCTTAGTGTCAGTAGGGAACACCAGCTTAATTTCTTAGTAAAATTGTTCTGAAATAAATAGACTAAAAACTTTGCAAGTGAGAAGTTTTATATCCCTGTTTATTACAATGGTTTAGGATACTGTTCTATTCTGGAGCGGGCGGTACACTGATTATTAAGTCCATTCTCTTTACTTGGCAGTCTGTACGAGATACCCCAGCCAAAAATGCACAAAAATCAAACCAAAATGGAAAAGACTTAAAACCATCAACACCAAGATCAAAAGTAAGTATCCAGGTAACAAAACAGAATTGACCTAGTTAAGAAAAGTAAATTCTATGTAAGAACCTAGCCTGCCTAAAATTTGGTAGATATTTGAGGAACTTAACCCTGGCTACATAATACATTGTAGTGCAGTACTAGTACTTAAGTCCATGAACTATGTCATGTTCTGAAGGTCTCTAAGCATCAATAGAGTTTAGTTGATTTTTGTAGATCTATTGAATTCTGAGCTTTGTTTATAATTTCATGGAATTTTGTGGCTTGTGTGCTTATTACATAGGCCACATTAATAATCCTCATAGAATTCAGCACAACATAATTGATTCTCTTATTTAAGGTGCCTGTCAGGGACCCCCTACTTCTACCCTGAGATTGAGGAGAAAGAAGCTGAAAAGTATTTCAGGGCAGCTTAGGGGTTTTAAAAAAAGTACTTAATGGGTTTGGCAGCAAAGTGCCTTTATGCTAACCTTGAGGCATCTTTCCTGACAATCACTTTATAAAAGAATGATCATTTTGGTCAGCTAGCTGAGATCGTCTTTCGGACTAGCTACAATCATCCCTCACCCTTTGAAAGGCTGAGATTAAAGGCTAGGAACAATCTTAAAATTACTAGATAAAATTAGGAAGATAACATACAAAGCTCATTAGTAGTGTCTCCATACATTTCTAGATAAAGAATTGCAACAATAATTGGGAAGTCATGGTAATTAAGAAATGTACTCTAATTATCTTTTTCCAGGGTCAAGAGTCCTTCAAAAAACAGGAAAAAACTCCTAAAACCCCAAAAGGACCTAGTTCTGTAGAAGACATTAAGGCAAAAATGCAAGCAAGTATAGAAAAAGTAAGTAAAATTACCATTAAAGGATTGGCCTTTTCCCCCCACTATGTATGGGGGGTGGGTAAGAAATAGATTATAGAAATAGGTATGTTCATAATCTTGTGCGTTCATGATTTATGTTTTATTACAATAAAAAGTACAAGGATGCATTCTGATCTTACAGTTTTGCCTTTTCTGGGGTTAATGCTATAGAACCTGCAAAGGGAGTTAAGGCTTTCAGTAAAATTGAAAACAGAATAGACAAGTCTTAGACTGCATGAACTTATACCTAAAAAAGAAAAAAAAATCACCTTTTAACATTTCCCAGCTATTGGAGTTAAATCTGTGCCCTTTATACCAAAGCATCCCCAGTCTAATACCTGGAATTTGTGTGGCTTACATAGAAGCCTTAAATAGTAGATTACCTTTTGCTGTTTGGCTGGTACTACAGAATTATGGACAAATGGAATAATCAATTCCAATGTTTTTTGGGGGAATTGAAGATTGTCTAAATTGTGATTATAACATTTGAAAATATATGTGGAATGATAGGAAAAACTACCCTTTTCCATATTTTTCTTGTCCTGTAGGCCTCACATGGCTTCAGGTTTTCTTCCTTTGTGCAGCCACCAATGGATTGGAAATTAGCACTTTAGTGCCAGCACATACTTACACTGTAAACTTGAGCTTTCCTGGTGTTGTCACTGATTTATTTTTATCCCTTGCATACACTGCTAAAATGGTGCCCCTCCCCCCCATTTTAATGTGGTCCTATCTCCTTGATTTAATTGCAGGCGCATTGAACAGTCCTGGGCACTACTGGTAAATTAAGCCCAAAGATGGGGAAAGAGGAAAAAGGAGAAACAAATATAGCCCATACTGAGTACCATCAACAATCCAGATTGAAGTCTTCTATTATAATCTCAATCCCCTTTCCTGATTGGCCATCCATTTCCCCCCTTGCACGCTGGAAGCAATCTTGTTTTCCTAAAGCATTTTTCTTTCACTCTTGTGATGCAGAGAACTTACTGCTTTCTAAACTTGTGCATATGCCTCATCTCTGACCATGTTTTTAATACCTTTGTATCCTTAGCTGCTCAATAAATTTTTGAATGAACCAAATAAGGATGTATGTGACAATATTTTAAAATTACTGTAGTGACTTATTTTCTAGGTGACGGAGGCAATTGATTCTCACAATTGGAAGCCTTTTGCTAAATACATAAAACAGGATGCAAAAAACTAAAATTTTGGTTGACAAGAAGTGATGCATTTAATATGAAATGAGGGATAATTAGTGACAATGCTGATTAAGGTATTTAGGCAATAACTAGTTACCTTAGGGATTTGACAAATTATTAGGCATTACTGATTGTGGATCATTGCCTACATTCATGATTGGAAACAAATGTCCAGTTTTTGCTGCTGTTAGGGGTTACTATTCAGTTGGTTTCTAGATAAAATGACGTAGCCTAGGTTCTGTTTTGGGTGGTATTTGCAGGATATAGGTAGGCTACCCCAGTTGGCTGTATTTGCATGCCTACAGAATTATTGTTTTGGGGAATTGGGCTTTAGCAGTGAAAGACTATGGTCATAATACGCTGATTATATTAGGTCTTTCTAGGCTTTGGTGCTGGTATTTTGAAACAGAAGTTGAAGGGACAAGGAGTATAATGTAATGTAATGGCATGCAAATCTTCCCGAGTTTTCTAATGGTATTTCAAACAATTTCTGTTTGTCCTTAATCATTTTTTTTCCCTCAATAGGGTGGTTCTCTTCCCAAAGTGGAAGCCAAGTTCATTAATTATGTGAAGAATTGCTTCCGGATGACTGATCAGGAGGTAACTGAATTTTCTTATGCCCAAGACCAAAATTTCATTGTGTGTGTGTTTTTTTTTTTAAGTTTCAGCCTCTTAGGTTGTTGGATCCTTGTAAAAGGTTCCTAACCACAGACAGTTCTTAAATACATGGAAAGAATTTAATTGGCAGCCTGAGCAGATAATTTTGTGCACATTTTTCCCAGCTTTTAAATAGTTGTTAAATTATCTCTTGGTTATTGAACCTAGTTTTACTCATGGTAGTATATTGGCTAAGAAAATAGGCTGTGGTTTTCCTTTGCTCCATTTGGCTGCTTTACAGTCTGAAGTTTGCTCTCTTGGGAGGGATAGTATCTTCTCCAGATATATATATGGGTTAAATATGCCTTATGTGTGAGGTTTTATGTAAATACCAGAAAATGTTTATTTTTATGGTGCTAGAATTCACTTGGACTACGCAAAAGCGAAGCACTGCCAGTGATGTGTCTTCCCAGTGGCATGAGTTAATTTTTTTGTCACAGTTATAAGCAGGAAAGGCAAGCGGTTAAAGGGGTGCTACATCTTTTGTATGCACAGATAAGTCTTTTATATTTGGGTCATTAAACCATTTGTATTTTAAACATTCTTTATGCAGATTGTTGAGCCACAAGCTGAGGCAACATTGTCCAGATAGCTCTGTTTTCATGTTTAAGCCATCTAATTAAGGAATCACATTGAACTTTGCTTTGATAGAAGGAAAAATAATGAACTGAAGATTGTATTGACTTGCATAGTTACATTTCTTTACCATTTTTCCCTCACAGGCTATTCAAGATCTCTGGCAGTGGAGGAAGTCTCTTTAAGAAAATGGTTTAAACAGTTTGAAATATTCCGTCTTACTTAATTTCTGTAACAGTTGATATATCTGGCTGTCCTTTTTATAATGCAAAGTGAGAACTTTCCCTACTTTGTTTGATAAATGTTGTCCAGGTTCCATTGCCAAGAATGTTGTCTAAAATGCCTGTTTAGTTTTCAAGGATGGAACTCCACCCTTTACTTGGTTTTAAGTATGTATGGAATGTTATGATAGGACATAGTAATAGTGGTGGTCAGATGTGGAAATGGTAGGGAGACAAAAATATACATGTGAAATAAACTCAGTATTTTAATAAAGTAGCACGGTTTCTATTTGCTTATTTAACTTCCATTCTTTGTCTGAAGTTAAAAATGTCAGTGCCTCCCCAGCTACCAGTTATTGTTTGTAAATTCTGATCCAAGTAAGACCTTATAGTCATGGATGTTTAGGGACCTGATCTAAGTTGGACATAAACACTGATTCATCCATCCTGGTTTGCTGTGGTGTATTAACACATAATGCCAACAATGCATGGGAGAGTATAACTACTTCAAAACAAAATTCAGTGCTGTCTTAGCATTTTTCAATGTACCCCGTTTAATATATTGTGGTTTGTATTTTCTATTATGGTCTTCTCTACAATTGTATAATACATCAATTCTATATAGTCCCCAAGTGGAGTAAGTAATCAGGGGGAGTTTTCCTGGGAAAGTCAAGTATCCTTGCATACATTCTTAGCCTTTCTGTATCAAAAGTGTTCTTTTTGTTAGGGAGTGAAGTTGTTGAGATTGTAACTTAAGGGCTGCTTGCTTTGTTCCTTACAACCTTTTAATGGGGAAATTTTATACATACAGGTACACAACGGGTATATAAAGACATTTTAAAGTTATTCGGTAAATACACAATGAAGATTGGATGTGTTTAACTATTGCATAAAAACCACTTGGCTGAATATAAATTATAGGATGATTAACAGTGTCATACATTTTACGAATACAAATGGCAAAAGTATTTTGAGAAGTGGAGTTAATGTTTGCCTTTGAAGTATGAGTGGGAGGAGAGAGGTCTTATCTGTTTTTAATTTGGAGCCACTTTTGTCTAAAATTAAACTGGATGAAGAGTTTTTTCCACCTTGAGTTTCTGGATTGTACTGTTTGAAGATGGGCTGCTTTTCTAGAAGACCATAGTTCAATTCCCAGTCCCCACATAACTGTTCACAACTATTAACTACAGTTTCTGGGGACTCTGACACCTATGGCAAAACAGTTTTTAAAAAGTTGCATGCAAGATCTTCCTGTTTTCTGACTTCTATAAACTAGGTTTAATTACACTAATATGAAAGTACATAAAATGTAAAAACATGTAAAGTATTTTACTATAAGAGTCTCCTACTTGTGCCGTGTAAACTGCCTGTTTGAGACCTACAGAATTCGACTTGGTTAGATGCCCAAGTCCTATACCTGCTGCAGGTATAGGTGCTTGGGAGGATGTAATTAAGCATATACCACATTGTGACCCCAGTTCTGAATACTTGGATGTAAGTGAAGCAGGGCTTAACATTTCATATGTATGCAGGTGATATTCTCTACCACAAACTTGTGCAAATTTACTAAATAAATTGAGTGCAGGTACAGGACCACCATATACTGGAGATCTTAATGGCCTCCTGGTGCTGGCTGCTGTTACTTGTACTGAGTATCCCACTTAGTATTGCCATTGCTTCAGCCCCATTCCCCCAATTTACTCTTCACTTAAGAGTTTCATTCACAGGGAGGTGTGTCCAAATGTAGCAGCAGGTAACAGGATGTTGGAGGTGATGTTTGTACATTGGGGTTGTCAACTGGTGCATTAAACTCAGTATAAACCCTTAAAAGATTGTTGTCTACTTGGTGTCCTTACAAAGGCCTTCTGTCTGCAAAGTGCTGGGTCCGTGCTTCAGTGCTGTCTGTGGTCATCCAAAAACTTCACACTGTACACATGGAGTGTTTTGTATGGCTGGCTGTATCCTACCTTCTGTCAGCCTACATGTTACCAAGGTCTTTCTTTGGACTACTATTCAGTTTATAATTCATCTCCCCCCCCCCCCCCCCCCATTCAGGATACTGCTTTAAGAAACAAAAAACCTCCAGATTGTTTCTCAGCTTCCCTGGGAAAAGTGGGCTTATTACTTTGGAGTGTGTGAGAGCATGAGTGTTCATGAGTGTTAAAGCCTACAAGTGGGAGGTTGTTGCCTTAGCGTGTGTTTCAGGGAATTCCATGGAGTCATGCCATTGCCACACACCTCCCTATTTTAAGCTAGGTACCTTGTCTCAATCAGGATTGACAAGGTAGGAGGAGCTCAAACAGCAAAGGAGTAAGTTTGAACGTTTTAATTTGATGTATATGTACATTGGTAACAAGGTTGAAACTGGGCTTCAAGGTGAGAGTAATCAATAAGGAATGATTTTGATAGCTAGGTTTCAAGTGTAAGGAATGATACTGTCTCTGAAAAAGTTGAGAGATGTGAAAAGACTAGTTAATACAGCTGAAATGTTTGGTTGTCTTCAGAATGTGCCAGATCTCACTGTATACTCAGCAGTTGTATTCAGCACACACACTCCTCTTGTTGAGACTAATTTACCCAATGGCAGAGCATGAGCATAAGCCTGAACTGACCTGCAGCTTCTACTCCTGGATTACATTATTGTTGGGTTGTTGGGAATTGAGCTGTGTGTCTCTCCATTGACTGAGCTACATCCCCAGCAGCAGGACTTGAATTTATGTTCAGATTGTCACTGGATTTGGAGGTTTGGGACTGTTTTGTGAGATGAGTGAGGTCATCCAAAGCGTAGTAGGTGGGACAATCGTTGCCCATTTGCACAAGGGAAAAATGGTAATAGAATGCAGGTAGGAAAGAATACTTAGCCAGATAAGGAAAATCCCTACACCACCTCCCAGGGTGTGTGTTATAAAGCAATGCCAAAGGCTATTTGGTTTGTCATTTCAGTCTTAAGGATTAGTCCCTATATCTGCAGATATAGGAAGTTGCTAATAACTTTGCAAGGCTAGTTCTGGCAGTCCAGACAATCTACATAAAATGAACTTAACCTCATGCAAGAACTATTTCAAAGCACATGATTTTGCAAAGGTTTTCGGGATTTGTGTTGAGTGGTGTGTCATCCTTGTGCTCTCCCTAGGGTTTCTCTGTATACCCTTAGCAGTCCTGGAACTTAAACTTTTAGAGCTCTGCCTGCCTCTGCCTCCTGGGAGTGCTGGGATTAAAGGCTAATGCTACCACTGTGGGGCTCAAGATTTGTTTTTAATAGTCCCATTAGCCTCTGCTTTGAAAAGGAACTGAAATTAGCTGACAGGGAGGTCTGATACTTGGAACAAATACTATGTTTCTGTAACTTCAGGAATAACACTACTGAGCAGCACCCTCTTTACTGTGTGCTCCAGTGAACAGGCAATTAGCAACCACAGTTACTGACACAAGGCCTTAAACCAAATAATCTGAATTCCTGAGTTTTGCATTTTGTGCTTGTTCTCTAGTTTCTTGCCCACTGTGACCTGTTTGCCTTAGCATCAGTCCAAAGCAGTGTTTGGCTGACCCAAGCTCTACACAGAATGAGCAGTCCTATGACAATATCTACATTTTGGGGTTAATGGAAGGACAGAAAAAGTTCAGGGTTGGTGATCAAGGGCAGGAAAACAAGCTGCTTAGTGTGTGAACCAAAGAGGGCCTGCAGTGAGAGCTGACCAGAGAGAGACCTGGCTACTCAGGCTTGTAGCGCGTCAAGGCTGCGGTTACAGCGGCACTTTCGAACCACTAGGTGGTAGCCGCGTGCTTCCAAAAACCGAGCCACCTACTAGAAAACGCAGCTGGAATCCCTAGAACCGACCTTAAAGTCCCAGAGCGGGGGGAAGGGAGAAAGACGCTCCTAAGCCTTTTCCATCTCCCATGGCAGGAGCGGGAAGAGAAGGCTCACTTAGCGTAGTCACCCCACTATGGGGAGGCCGTAGGGGGGGGGTATCTTGCGTCGCCTCAGGGCAAGGCCCCAGGATGACTTCTTTTAGTTGAGCCACCTCGTCCTCTCCCTGCTTCTGAACACTATTGAATGTGAATGTGAACAGCAAATGTGAGGGAGGCAGGACGCTCTGTACCTAATTGCATTCTTTGGGAACCTCGCCTGCTCCATTAGGCCAATATTAGCGTCGTGCTGCAGACCTCCGACGTCTCCCAAAGCTCACCAGCTCCAGCCTCGTGGGTTCTGCCCTGCTGAACGGCCAGTCCCATCGCAGACAGTCTGAGTGCCTCCCCTCCAGCCCTGAGCCGCCAGAAGGAGGAGGCAGTGGAGAGGCAGCGGCAGGCAGGCAGGCAAGCAGGCAGGGCCGGCTTTGATGTGGGCGCGGCGCACCCAGCGGCGCTGAGCGCCCGTCCGGCCGCGCCCCGAGGGGGGAGCCCCCGGGCCCCGCATCCTCATTGTGCCGGCGCGGGCCCGGGCCCGCCCCCGGCCCCCCGCCCCCTCGCCACCCGCGCGTAGAAAACGCCCCGGCCGCCGCCAGTGGTGGGAGGCGGCGATGCGCACGGCCTGAGAGACACGGAGGAGGAGACATGAGCCGGCGGGCGCCCAGACGGAGCGGCCGTGACGCGTTCGCACTGCAGCCGCGCGTCCCAGCCTCGGAGCGCTGACCCCGGCCCCGCCGGCTCCTCCAGCCTCGCGCCTCGGCCGCGGGGCCCCAGCCTCAGCTCCCGCCACGCATGCTGCCCCTGGACTGAGCCGGCAGCCCGCGTCCAGCGAACGCCCAGACGGCCCTCTCGCCCGCCTCGGACCAGCTTCCCTGCACCGACCGGGCGCCTCCCGCACCGCGGTCGCTCCGCAGCCCCCGCGCCGGCTCGGAGGGCGCAGCGCTCGGGAGGAGCCGCGCGGGGCGCTGATGCCGCAGGGCGCGCCGCGGAGCGCCCCGGAGCAGCAGAGTCTGCAGCAGCAGCCGGCAAGGAGAGAGCAGCAGCAGCGGCGGCGGCGACGGCGGCGGCGGCGGAGGCGCCCGGTCCCGGCCCCGCGAAGCGGACATGTGCAGGCTGGGCTAGGAGCCGCCGCCTCCCCCCCGCCCCGCGATGTATTCAGCGCCCTCCGCCTGCACTTGCCTGTAAGCGCCCGCCTGGAACTGCCCACCCTGGATGCCTGTCCCTGTGCGTGTGGCTCGCTCTGTCTGGCCGTCTGCTCGCATGACTTTTTGCCTGCGTGTCTGTGTGTCCATCCGTACCCCCTCCCCCGGGTCCCACTGACCACCTCTCCCTCTTTCTCCTGCAGGTGTTTACACTTTCTACTGCTGTGCTTCCAGGTTCAGGTACGTGGTCTCCAGACAGAGAGGTTTCTCCCCCCTCCCCCGTGTGTACTCTTCCTAGAGGTTCCGGCTGACCCCCCTTCCCGGGACCGCGCCCCCTCTCGGTGCCCCACCCCTCTTGGGCAACAAGCCCAGTGCACCTGTTCCCAGGGCGCGGAAGGGCGGCTTCGCGCGCGTCCTGCGCTGGCTGGCAGTGTTGGGCCAAGGACTAGGAGCTGCTACGGGGCTCCAGCCAGTGCAGGCTGTCGTGGCCGCGGGTGGTAGATTTCCCAGAGCCCAAGGATGCGCGGGACTCCAACCCCCGACCGCAGCTGGCGATGGGTAGGGACCTAGGGGTTTTTCTGCCAACTGTCCCTTTACAGCCTGCATGTGCTTGCAGACAAAAAGGTTGTTTTCAGCTGAGTGGATTTTGAGTCCAGAGAGAGCTTTAGTTGTAAATTACTCTGTGGGTGGGAGGAGAGAGAGAAAGAGAGAGAGAGAGAGAGAGAGAGAGAGAGAGAGAGAGAGAGAGAGAGAGAGAGAGAGAGAGAGACTGCTCCCCATCCTGCTGTGCTCCGCTCCACATGTCCTTGCCCAAGGTGGTGCAGCCCAGGGCTTGTTCCCTGCCTGGTCCCCGTTCGCTCTCTGTGAATCAGAAGAAGGCTTGGCGCTCAGCCTGGAAAGCACTTGCTAAAATCTGATCTGTTACTTCAGCAGCTTTCAGACTCGGGAAGGTCTTGGCACACAGACAGTTGGAATGCTCTGGCTTCCAAAGCCGTGGAAATGAAGGAAAGGGGGGGGGGGTAAGGGAGTCGACTTCAGCCCCGATTAGAACCAGACCAGGGCTGCCTCAGCATGGTGTGTGTAGTGGGGTGGGGGGGCAAAGGGAAGAGGAAACACCAGCTGCCCAATCCCTCTACCTACTTACAGTTATAAGGGAGGGGGACTCAGGATAAACTGGACACAAGCCAAAAGAGGATTATCTGTCCCCTCCCCCTCTCCGTGAAAGGCAGGTGCCCTTGCTGGGCTAATGGGAAGATGCTTGGTGGGAACCGTCTGAGTTCTGGAGATGTCTGGAGACAGCCCTATACATGGGCCAGAGATGGTTCTTAGTTTTCTGGTACAGGAAGCGTGTGTATAACTGCTGCTTGATCAGTGTTTGCTATTGACTCTCCTGCCTCTCTTTCAACTCTTTGGAGAATATTGTTCCTTGGGACAGGCATGAAGCTCGGGGCAACCAGTTGAGACTGCGGACTGGGAGACTAGATGGATGGACAGACTGATGGCCTCTTTCCTTCTGTTGGCCAGGCTGGGATCCCCAGTGACTCCTTGAATCAATACAACTGGAGTCAGTAACTTAACGCTGGCTGTTTGCCAAAGCAGATGTGACCCTGTGTGGTGAAGAGGGTGGGGGGGGAACAGTTGATGTCAGAGAAAAAGGCCAGTGCCAGGCATGGGCTGCTAGTCTGTCTGCAGCTGAGTCCCCAAGCAGAGGGCAGGTTCCAGGGTCACTCCAGGGGGTCTGCTTGTCTGGCTAGGCTGAGCCTGAGCAGGAGCTGAGTAAATGGGTGTGGAGGCAGAAAGGAACCTTTGGATTTGCTGCTCAAACCTGCACATGCTTGCTGTTCTTCGTTCTTCTTTAAGTAGGGCCCAGGAGGGGCTGCTGGGTGGTCTTTGTGTTCTCTGATGGGAATGTGAGGGAGGGAGTCTGGACTCTGCTTCCTACCTCCACCTCCGGGCCAGAACTAGAGCCAGCATCTCTAAGTAGGAGCTGGGTGGTCTGCTTGGGTTAGGCCAAGAGGCAAGATCCATGCAGGTGAGGGAATCCCCCCTCTCTTTTCCATCCCCCTTCCTTTGCCCCTTTGTCCCCTGCAGCCTCTCCACTTCTGAATTGCATAGGGATGGTGTTTTTAAACCCTGGTCTGTATCCTTGGTTCCGCTGGGTGCGTCCTTAAAGGTCACTCAGAAAATAGTGTGCAAATTTGGTGTGTCTGAAAGGTAAATAAATACCAGGAGGAATGATTAGCAGGCTCATGGTAACTTTAGAGTTCAGAGACAGGGATGGAGTGGTCCTTAGTGGTAGAAATGAAGATGGCTTCAGATGTGTGGATCTCCACGAGTCTGAAGTCGGAACTTTGCATATACAATTTTGACTGATGCTATGAAAGCAGGCATCGGCCTGGGTGCAGAGGGGCATCAGCAGTAGAATGCCTTTGGTGGGAGCAGACCAGAAGGCCTTCCTAAGTGAGGAAAGCATCCAAGGGCTTGGCAATAGGTGATCTCTGCCGAACTCCAGCTTCATTGAGCCCTGTCTGTGGTTCTGTAGGGGTTTTAGTTTTATCATTTGTGAAAGATGGCTCTTAAGTTGAAGTGCTGTGTGATTGGGGCAGAGGAAACATTGCTGATTATTTACCCACTCAGGAGGGCACAGTGGTCAATTGGAAAACCAGTGCACTTCCATCCTTACTATTTTAGAGAGTTGGTACAGTTTTAGCAATGGAATTTCTGGGGGCCTCCTCTCCTCCCAGCGCTCAGTCACCAGGCCTCAAATGGATTCCCCCCCCCCCAAGTCAGGTTTCCATGAACATACTCAATACCAGATACTGTCCTCCGCCCATCACCAGTGTGGTGAGCCCCGCCTTCACCCACTGGCCACCCTGGGAAGTGGGAAGCTGGGAATTTAATAAAACCCCTTCATCCTTTCTCCACACGACTCAGGACACCGCAGATAGCTAAAATCAGAAGAATTTTAAAAATTTCCGCGGGGAGCAGGCAGCGTGACCAGTAAATTGCTTTTCTGCACTTGACTGAGCTCTGACAATGACACCGGCCCAGCTTTTCACGAAGCTCTGCCGGCACCTGCCTAACATTCTTCCTGCCGCCAGGCTCCACTAGGCCCTTGCCTTCCTTATACAAGCTAGCATAAGGCAGGCCAGTGTGGGAGGTTCCTCTAGCCTCTTGTTCCTCCTGCTAGCCCCTTGTTCTTCCCACAGTGTGCTTCCTGCCACACCAGGAGGTGTTGGAGTTTGGAGTTCCAGTCATACCCCTGGTTGGCCTGACCACCCACACCTAGCCTCCTCATTGAGGCTTAGAGCTTTCTTTAGGCTGGCCAGGTTCGAGAGGCTAGGGGCAGTGTCATTTGGGTCAAGAGGAAGATGGAAAGGTAGCTGTCCTGTTGAATGGCTCTTTTTAATTCCTTAAAGCAGCGTCATTCATTGGTCCATTCAGTTGAGTTTCTATTCAACATTCAGCCTGCTTCTTGTGGGCCCTGGGATGGAGACCTAGACAGTCCCTGGTCTCAAGATTCTTCCATTCTAGAGGGGGACACTGCAAGATGCTCCAGCATGGTGACATCTCTTCCACTTTCTGGGAAGTGACTTGCCTAGGCGTAAAAGGCATCTCATGTGAGGAAGCTGTTTTCATCCTCCCAGCTTCCTACCAGGAAGACAGGTAGGATGGAGTCACATTCCTGCCTTACAGGGGGAGAAAGCCGGCTAGAGAACCAGCTACGAAGGGATTTGTTCAGGACTGTGGCTACAAGCCAAGAATCTGGATTTAAGATCTTGTATTATTTCTATCTCTTCTAGAAGGAATACTGCAGTTTACTAGGAGGAGAAAGAGTCCCAAGAGGCAGGCATGCTGGGAGTCCTTAGTGGGAAGTCCTATTTAGAGTCTTGTGAGGATAGGTGACTCTAGCAGAGGACAGCTGCCTCTCTGTCTCTGTCAGGAGGCTCCACTCTCCTGGGAAAGTGCTGATCTTTGAGAGCCTTAGAGCTAGATGTGGGTGCCTCCTTCCCAGGGCAGAAAGAAGGGAGGGGTGGGGCACTGTGCCAGCATTCCTGCAGCCAGGGAAGGTCACCCACTTGCTTTGAGATAAGGAGGTGGGTTTTAAAAATTTCTTGTGGTTGGCACAGCCAGGGTCGGTGGCCTGGGGCAGCCTGTCAGAATCACTGGTGTAGCCTCCTCCCCGCACGGGGACAGCACTGTGGTTCTGACATGGTCCTATAGCAGAAAAGTTACGAGAGCACTGGCCCACACGTGACAACAGCTCCAACCCACTGTGTTCAGTGGTGTCTGGTATTGTCTTACACTATCCAGCTCACCATCAGCTTGGGATTTCCTGGGGAATGCTGTAGATGAAGAACAAGACCCTCAGTACACAGTAGTAACCTGACTTTGGTCACACATAAAAGGGAAGCAAAAGCCCCAATAACATAGTGTTTATCTTCTAAGGGGAATAGATAACAGTTCTAGGCCTGGCTGCTGTGTCCCTGGTCCTAGATGGATTCTGGCCCTTGTTGCCTGTCATGTATTCATGTATAGAAAGCACTGCTCCCTCCTGGTGTGTGTGTGTGTGTGTGTGTGTGTGTGTGTGTGGTGAACAAGGGCTGCTCTGATGAACCTGTGTGTTTCCTGTGCTCTTGACTTGGGTTGGCATTACTTCTTGCTAACAAGGACTTGTGGCAGGATCACCAGAGGAAAGGGCATACTGACATTTCTCCCCAAAGGCCAAGGCAAGAGGAGAGGCACCTTGCCTTAGGATGTGTTTAGATCTGCTGCCACACCATGGACATGAGTGTGGGAATATATTCTGGAGCATTGGTGGGTAAGGGGATCCTTAGGCTGTGGGCTGGCTGGCTGCTAGTTCTTATGCTCTGACATCTAAGCGACATATAAAATGTTGCCATGTTGACAGTGGGTCCAGTGGTACTGTGCATTGGTCAGCTGAGGGCCACAGAACAAAGACTCCAAAGTTGAATGATCAGTCTCTGTCTTGGCTTGGTCCACCCTGGACCTTTGCTCTACTTGGTTTATCCAGCTGTGTAGGAGCTGGGCACTGAGATCTTCTAGGGCCCTGTGCCCAGGCACTGGCATCAGAGAGTCTTCAGCCCATGAACTGTGGTCTTCAACCACCTGCTCCTGTTTCCCCTATCTCTGTAAAGTAGGTTAATATGAAATACCTCCTTAGAGTTAGTGAGAACTAAATGAGCTATTATACAGAGAGTGGTCAACACTCAAGCAAT